CGTTCACTAAAATTGAAATATATTGTTGTTTAAATTAAAGCCTATTATCTTATGAAGAGCTTTTTAGCCCATCATATTAGCCTATTGACTAACCAGTGAGTTTGCTTCAGCGAGCTTCTTTAGTTCTGATGTGTGTTCGTGTTTACGTGTGTATACACAATGCAGCTGAGTATATAGGTTGATAGTTGAAGACTATCAACAGGGATTTTTTTTACTTAAATCTTGCAAGATTTGCCAATAGTAACGCTCATTGAAGCCTTGCAACTAAATATAAATTAAGACCTACTGCTCAGTATCTCGACAGAGTATAAATTTGTATTCACGTTACTCTTAAGTTTAATCGTACACATTAATATATAATGTTTTTGTATAGCAACATATCTTAAAATTCGCAATTTGTTACTTTACTTTTTACTGTGTTTCTAAAATTTTAAAATGTATTTTATAATAAAACGTGAAATTTATTAAACCTTATTTAGCAGAATGTGCACAAATAGAATTGGGCTAACGTAAGAAAATAATAAGGAGAAAACCGGTTTATTTGCATATCAAAATGGGACAATATTTTCTAACAACAAATAAAACAAAAAATTATGAAGATTGTAAAAAAATTGAGTGAACTGAGAAAATCAATTTAAACAGTTCGGGACTCGAACCAGCGAATTGGGTATCCCCCCAGCAACCCGTTTTCGCACTTTCTTACAGTCAATATTGACTTATTAAATACGTGCATATGTGACATACTAAACATACTAGTTTACCTTGAAAAGCTTCATAGAAAACACCGACCTTACCTAACCTTCTTAGTATGTTAAGATAAGCATCTTATTGCTTCGTAATTACAATTATTACTTAACCTATTATAAGTATAGGTTAAGTAATAATTGTAATTACGAAGCAATAAGATGCTTATCTTAACATAGAAGGTTAGGTAAGGTCGGTGTTTCCTATGAAGCTTTTCAAGGTAAATTAGTATGTTTAGTATGTCACATATGCACATATTTAATAAGTCAATATTGACTATACGAAAGTGCGAGAACGGGTTGCCCCCAGCCACCTGCGTTAAACCGCTGGACCATGATATACGCTCTATATAACCTGGAATTCACCCAAATCCACCAGGAGCCTTGAGGCATAGAGCCAATACCAAATCCAGCTTTCACACATCACTCGCCAGCACTCTAAGTGTGTTATAGCAGGTCCTCCACCACACGCTTTCTTCAGATACACAAGAAAGACACATTAGCATGATATATCAAAGAGAAAATTAATTGATATATCACGTCAGTGATTTATTTCCTTGAGTTGCGAATTAACTTGATGCCTCGTATTAGTTGCGCAGTAGCTCGTCAATTTTTGTTTTGTTTACATCTGTTATGGACAGAATCTACTTGAAGCACATTTCTTAATAGTAAATACACTGAAATTTACAATAAAACAAGTCCTGTTCATTGTATTTTCATTTTCACTTAACCCTTTTCTAAAACACACACACACACACACACACACACACACACACACACACACACACACACACACACACACACACACACACACACAAATCATTGACGCTACTGCAGCTATGTGGAAAATTGTGATCAAAATCAAAGGACATAGTAATTATGTTTTATACAGTCATTTTGACTGTATACCTGTTATATATGTTGCTAAATTGACTGAATGAATGCTCTGTAATCTGTACAATAGTTAGGGTCATAGGTTTAAGGCTTATGAACCTCAAGAGGGTTATTGAGTCCTATTAACCTCTGGAGGGTTATTAAGGCTTATCAACCTCTGGAGGGATATTAAGGCCACCGTAATAGCTTATTGACCAACCAGAAAGTATACTTTAGTCCTGAACATAGTCCAGGACTAGAGTAAACTCTGTGTATATACACCGAGAAGTGAGGTATACCTCTCAGTGTATATCACTAAATAACATTTCCACTTTGTAATTAAACACATTGAAATCAACTACTTTGTCTCTCACGCTTGGTTAAAAGCCAGGTTTACCACAAGTTTACCACAATTCCCCCAAAAATGTACAATTAAATAACACCTACTCTTCATATACGCATTCACCCTGAACGCTTAACTGCTATTTTGCACTAAACTTGCTTTCATTCATTCACTTAAGTTGTCCCATTCAGTCACTTAATTTGCTTCTTTTCATTCATTTTATGCACGAGTAATCATGTCTTGAATACATTCATCAACATCTTTGACACGTGCATTTGTTTACAAGAGTAATTAATCAATAGATGCCCGTATATAACAAGTGTTCAATTGAACAAACAGCCGGATAAGTTCCAAGCCTGACATTGACCGGCCGTTCAACACATAGCCATGATCTTCTTCTTGAGGTTATCTTGAGATGATTTCGGGGCTTTTTAGTGTCCCCGCGGCCCGGTCTTCGACCAGGCCTCCACCCCCAGGAAGCAGCCCGTGACAGCTGACTAACTCCCAGGTACCTATTTACTGCTAGGTAACAGGGGCATTCAGGGTGAAAGAAACTTTGCCCATTTGTTTCTGCCTCGTGCGGGAATCGAACCCGCGCCACAGAATTACGAGTCCTGCGCGCTATCCACCAGGCTACGAGGCTCCTTGATGAACCTAATCTGGCAATGACCAGCTCATCTCAGAGTAGTAATGTTTGTTATCACGCTGCAACCAATCTGAACGCCCAATTGATTCGCCAATCACCTAACACATTGGTTAAGGCCTATTATCTACTAGGATCATTAGTGATGTAATTTATTTTGACATTTAACTTAAAAGTCTAGGATCAAAAGTAGATTTACAAAGTAGATTCCTATAGAAGTTACAGATTGCTTAACTCCCTCGTACCTATGCAAGTACAATAAATTAGTATGTCACACATGCACTTATTCATAAGCAAGATATTGACTTACAGCAAGTGCGAGAACGGGTTGTATTTATTGCTAGTTGAACAGATGCATTAGATGAAAGAAAGACAGGCCAAATCATTTGTGCTCTGATCGGGAATTGAACCCGGGATTCCCGGTTGCGAGGGAGTGTCATATATTACTGATGAATGTAATTGAATATAATTGTTGTTGTGTGAATATGAACATTATATGAACATGTTATATGAACATATTCATATACTTGTTGTTAGACATAAAAACTCAATTAGATATATGACAAATATACTTAGCTTGAAGGCATATGTATATATATATGGCTGGTCAGAGCAGAGTTGAAAGAATTGACAAGATAATCAATTGACTAAGGCTGAGTTGAATATTCAATGTACAGAGATAAACATTAACTAAGGTCCTCCATACACAGTTAATTGAACATTGAATGGTTGAGGACAAGGCACTCCACTTGGTAAGGCAGAGTTGACTAATTCAACTCTTCTATGCAGGCTAAGTAGTTGAAGAGGCTCAAATCATCTCAGCACCAGGTTGATGAGGACGATCAACCAGGCAGTAGAAGGAGCAAGACAATACTCGCCTAGCCAGTTCAGAGCTGTGGCTATACTTTGTCTAATTGTTCATTCATGTGGTGAACAAATGACCTACCCCTTGAACATTTATGTAGTGAGTGTACATGGATCTACCCTTTGTAGACCAGACCACACACTAGAAATTGAAGGGACGACGACGTTTCGGTCCGTCCTGGACCATTCTCAAGTCGATTGTCAAGTCGATTGCCACGTTATTGTGACTCATCGCCTGCCTACCCTTTGTATATCCATATGATGAACACACACACATGGATCTTCCCCCTCATATACATTCATAAGAGGAGCACACTCAGGGATTCCCATGAACATTCACGGGATGAACACATTGAACAAAATATAATCAATGCCTGAGTTTCGGCTATATCACAGTCCTGGGGAACATATTTTACGATTACATAATGGCAAGAAGTCTCTCTCTCTCTCCGTGTTCCATTATGACTATTACAATAATAATGGACGCAATATTCTTTCATGTCACATTATAATGAGTAATATCCACAAAAAGATAATATTGTGGGATATTCATTTACAAAATTCCTTAATACAAGCACTATAATAGGTAAATCCTGTTAATTGTATCGGAACATAATTATATCCACATTAAGGACTTGCATATAATCACTATTACATTCGCTCAATTCACATCATAGAGTTATTTTAAGCTATTATTAGTATATAGAAGCTCGTCTTGGTAGTGATTTTACAGAAAACGATGTCACGAAATAATGAAGTCTATGACACACTTCCAGTTTTCTGAAGGCAAGAATAGACAGGGGAAACTCGTCTAATGCCGGCATTAACACTGTACAGTCCGTCATTTCTAGTTCAAATCTCTAAATCAAAACGGGACTCCGAGTACACAGGACGGAAACTTAGGTCAAAGTTCTTTAAGAATGTCTTTATCTTCTGGAGTCACGGTGTCTGTGTCGTTGCACAGAGCCATTTGGTAACAATTGTGCGCTTTCTTTTCTCATTTTTTTGCGTTTTTCATTGTTTATTGTTCAAGATATATGAACGCGGTGACAGGCAGGAGACAGGTGGGAGACAGACAGGCAGGGGAGTGATGCCGTTGTGGCCTTTGTGTTGCTATTGCAACTTCCTTAGACACTTGTTCAGGTGATATTGTCGATGAGTGTTGCATTGTTGATGTTCTTGCGTTAGCAAGGTGCTATTGATGTGTTTACCTGGAGAAAGAGAGCATATCTGCATAGGGTTTTGGGAGTTCTTCTACTCCCCGAGCCCGGCCTGAGGCCAGGCTTGGGATATATGTATGTATATATATTTTTATATAATATATAGGCTGCAGAGTATATAAAGTGTCCAGAGCATACACGAGATTGTCATGGTATACTATATAGAAGGTCATCAGTATACGCGATGACCTGAATATACAGTAGATATATAAGTGGAAGTCACCAGTATATTAGTGACTGAGTATTCAGTTTACTTTATACAGGTGTGTTTTTCATGGGGATTTTAACACCTAAATATTGTATAATATATAAAAATACTGATGCCTTCAAGTTATTTAACGTGTTCATTAGTAATGTCACGTCATTAATGCTACTTTGCTGTTTTATTTCCTTGTGTTTACTTGGACTCTGTTAACGGTCTTATTTGACAGTTTGCTGATGAAGATGCTGTGTGTTCGTTGGTTGTGCTTAATGAGATATGTCTTATTCTCAAGTTATGATGTTTGGATTCATCTATGCATCTTTTGTTGATGTTGTCGTATCCCATATTGGGTCTTTTGTTGTATGCTGGGGGGGGGGGGTTGTATATTCCTGGGAGCGATGTATATTCTCCATCTGCGGTGACCCCCCCCGCCCCCCCCCCAGCGATGTAGTTTGTATATCCAATTGTTTGTATAATACTTCCATATTCAAGTTCCTTAAATTTCCTGGTTGGCGTGTGTGTGTCCAGTATGAAGCATTGTGATGTCTCCCTTGTGTGTTCTGGTGTCTTTCGTGACCTATTTTGATTCCCATATACCTTCGCATGGGGTAGTAACCTCGCCGGACGCTCTTGACCATCATTCCATGTCCCCGTGGTTGTCACCAGGTGGCAGGCGATGCTGGTTGATACCTGGTTGATGGGGTTCTGGGAGTTCTTCTACTCCCCAAGCCCGGCCCGAGGCCAGGCTCGACTTGTGAGAGTTTGGTCCACCAGGCTGTTGCTTGGAGCGGCCAGCAGGCCCACATACCCACCACAGCCCGGTTGGTCCGGCATTCCTTGGAGGAATAAATCTAGTTTCCTCTTGAAAATGTTGTCCTTAGATAATTCCAGATGTCCTCAGATGTCGACAGTCGCCAACAGTGTCCTCAGTTGACTCACTGTCCGGCAGTCACGGAGTCAGAGGGTTTAAGGTTCTTTGGCCTCGTATCATCCAGACCATCTCTGGAAGGTCACCTTCCTTTTCTCTCTCTCTTCGAGATTCGAATCTTAGGGTTTTTATGTATGTTCGTGTGACACTTTGTCTTGGCTGGCGAAATTATTTAGTTTTTTTTTTCAGTTTCTCCAGCAAAATATTTTTCTGATTTGTAACTCGTGTGTGTGTGTGTCTCAGTGAGATTTTTTATGGAACTGAACTGGATTCGTCTCTCTCCTGGTTAGGACTAGCTCTTGCATACTTTACCTTGTTCCTGCGGTCTGGGTTCAGCACTTCCAGATATCCAGCATTTTGATTTGTGTATGACTTGAACGCATTTTTAGTTAATTTAATGATATATATACTTGATGTCATGGATTACAGACAAGAATCTTAAAATGGGAACCAGATTGCTGTCATATCAGCCTTAGTCTTCAAAACATTAGAATTCCAGGATTCTGAAAGGTTTCATATATGTTTCTGGTGATTCCAAACGTATGCTGGAGTCCCATTGTGTTCCTGCCACAGAAAGTGGATTCTGGTCGTCATTATCGTCATACAGGATTAAGGACATAACTCTAAGATACATATTTTTCATAACTTTTTAACATATAATTGTAGGTTTTCTGTCAATATTTCCAAGGAATATAATACAGAGTATTCAATAGCATTAAACGAAATTGAACTCTCTTGTCGAAGGGAGCCTATTGGTGGTCTGTAACCATTCCATTCCTGGTACCCCTCTTTACTGCCTGGTACTTCTTTCCTGCCTGGCATCCCCTTTACTGCCTGGTACCTCTTTGCTGCCTGGTACCCCTTCCGCGCGCGCACACACCCTAGAGGGCGCCACCGATTTCTCTTGACTAATTCACCTCCTCCCTTAGCACCGTCTCGTCTTGCCTAGCTTCTGGATGAAGGAAGGTAGGGTCCTGGCGTTCTCAATGCGTGCTGGGGGCAAGGAGGCGGGGTTGGAAGAGGCCAAGAGATGCCGCACCAATTCTCTGATGTTGCCACCATGGACTTCGCGGGGCTCCAACGGCAAGTCTGCAGACCAAAAGAGTAAAATGGAGATTAGTATGCTATAACACAAAGGCACTACGGGCTCACTATAGCCCGTGCTACTTGCAACTTTTTGTTCCAGGTAGCGAATTTTTTAACAACAACAACATCTATGACATTGAACACGAACATTAAACAGTGTATTCTAATGATTTGTGTACATATACACTGAGAGGTTTGCTGTAGTTCCAGACTAATGATTAACACTGAAAGTAACTTTCATGAGTGGTCAGTAAGTTATTGATATTAATTAATGATAAGTTAATGATAATGATTCAGTAAGTCTTTAAATAGACTTACAGAGGTTGGGATCGACCTCATTTGAAACAAATCCTACTGAATGGGGATGTTTGATATACGATACACAAATGTTGCAAATCATGTTATAAGTTACAAGTTCACAAACCAATGTAAATTTGTTGTGAAAATGGGTTCAAGTTCGTCTTTTGAACCCGTTTTGCTAAAATAAGACGAACGTAAAATTTTGTAACTGTCCTATCAAGACTAGGTTTCAGAGCCCATTTTATTTAACCTATTTAAGAGAGTAGAAGAAACTGTTAAAATAAGCGTTTTAGCAATATTTACAGTCTATCCCAACTCCAGGCTTCCATAACACCCACTCCAGGCTTCCACAACACCCACTCAGGCCTATGACCAACTTATTTTAGCTACAGCTAAAACATTGGACCTTAAAAAGAGTACTAATTACAGAAAGCGTGAGACAGGTTGGGAAAGACAGAGAGAGGGAGGCAGGGGGTAGAAAGACAGAGGGAGAGACCGTGTTTGAATGTATATATAGGCACTACATATGTGTGTGTGTGTGTGAGAGAGAGAGAGAGACAGACAGAGAGAGAGAGAGGGAGAGAGTGTACACACCCTAGCGCCCACTCATCGAAGCATGTAATTTATGCAAACACTACCCAAGAATTCTCTGTTTTCAACAAGCTAAAAGAGGCAAGATGCTGGCTAGTTTGGTAGTAACGAGAACCTGGACTACCACCACCATCACTCCCACTACTACCACCACCACCACCTACCACCATCACCACCACCACTATCACTACCACCACCACCACCACCACCACCACCACCTACAACCACCACCATTACTGGCAGAGCAGCTAACATCATAGGTGAATTTGTGAGCCATGAAGGCTCACTGGAGCGTGACCCCCTCCCCCATATTTCCAGCCTCCCACCCACCCACTATATCTCCACCCACAAGTCCTATTTCAACCCAACAAACTTAACAATGCAACCAGCCAACCAAGCCATCCTACAAGCGAACCATCACCAGCTAACCAGCCAGCCAGTTAAGCAACTAACCAGCCAAGAAGGCCACTTCGCTGTCACGCAGCCCAAGAAACCTGTAAAGTCATATAGTGAGAAGAAAGGCCATATATATACTATATATTATACACAAAATGTGACCAGAATACAGACCTGTGTATACCTATGCCATGGAGAGAAGAGGAAGTATACCTTGAGAGTATAATCACGTCGAATGATTGTATAGGTTTACAAGGCCTTGTCACTTCAAGGAAAATTATCAGTTGTCTGACAAGGAATTTATTCAAACCAGCAACGTCATGCTAACGATAATTCACTTGAAGGCTTTTGCCCACTTAAGTTTGGGACATAATTGAATTAATAAAACTGTAGGAATTACTCAAATCTCTTCCACTTAATCAATACAAAGAATTAGAATAGTTTCCCCTCCCCCAATCTAAAAAACTAAAGTGTGTTCTACCTACCTAGTTAAGTAGGTATCCTACCTTACCTACATAAAAGTAGGTATACTACCTACCAACTCCCAGCAAGAAGCGTTTTACCAATTAGTTGAGATCCACCTTAAATGTGGATATCAAAAGCTTATTGATATCGATGCGAATATCAGTAACAATGTATGCCATATTGGCATGGATATTCATCTTATCTTTTTAGCTGTGAGGTCAATGCAATCCACTTGAATATATTCAATTCATTCCGTATACACAAATATACTTGTTTCTATATTAGCATATCTAAGGCGCAGAATGGCTTTATTAATGATAGCCTTTGTGTGTGTTTAATTATCTTTGCTAATTAGTTCATTCAGTCATCTTCATATGCGGTTACAGAGAGTGATTAGAGGTTCTAAGTTTGGCGAACACTAAAGTTTAGTTGGAATTTTTAACTTGGAAGATTTAAGTTAGGTGATCACTATAGAGCTTAGTTGGAGTTCTTAGGCGACTACGAATACTCAAGTAGCTGGTTTGTGGGTTGTAATTTTTAGAGGACGCGACTGAATCTGTAGGCTACTCAGTAGGCTAGACTTGTGTATAGGCCTACTCGCCGCTCCCTTGGTGAGTCTGAGGGGTCAGTCAGCATTCCCAGGGAGATTAGCCATGATGTAGTGAACGCAAGTATGGTGATAGACGATTGTCTATCGTACTACCATCATTCTGCTGCCTCGTTTAGTTGGTGTGTTGTGATTCCTCTTCTCCCTCTTCCATGCCTCTTTTTAGCGCCGTGTTCCTGGTTTTTCTCCTTCACTTCGTTCTATGTTGGTGTTTTTCTGATGGTCTATCTCAGGATAACTCATAATATGGTTGTTCTATTGGTCTCTCTCTCTCTCTCTCTCTCTCTCTCTCTCTCTCTCTCTCTCTCTCTCTCTCTCTCTCTCTCTCTCTCTCTCTCTCTCTCTCTCTCTCTCTCTCTCTCATTCATTTATTTCTCCTCCATGTTATTCTCTGCCATTCCTCCCTCCTCACCGCCACACACCTAACATCCCAAATAATGCAAAATCCTAACATACCTGATCAACCAGGCTGTGTTTCATACGTCAGGCTGCCAGCAGCTGCGTCTTACAGCCTGGTTGACTAGACCACCAATCAAGAAGGCTGGTCAGAGACCGGGCCGCGGGGACATTGATCCACCGTATCAACGCTTGGTATTCCTATATATATTGTACCCTGAACTAATCTACACCCCCCCCCCCCTACACCCGTTTGAGGTGGTCTTGAGCCTTCAGTCTGGCTGGGAGGAGATGCTGAGCCCCCAGTGTGGCTGGGAGGAGGTGCTGAGCTCCCAGTGTGGCTGGGAGGAGGTGCTGAGCTCCCAGTGTGGCTGGGAGGAGGTGCTGAGCCCCCAGTGTGGCTGGGAGGAGGTGCTGAGCTCCCAGTGTGGCTGGGAGGAGGTGCTGAGCCCCCAGTGTGGCTGGGAGGAGGTGCTGAGCTCCCAGTGTGGCTGGGAGGAGGTGCTGAGCCCCAGTGTGGCTGGGAGGAGGTGCTGAGCCCCCAGTGTGGCTGGGAGGAGGTGCTGAGCCCCCAGTGTGGCTGGGAGGAGGTGCTGAGCTCCCAGTGTGGCTGGGAGGAGGTGCTGAGCCCCCAGTGTGGCTGGGAGGAGGTGCTGAGCTCCCAGTGTGGCTGGGAGGAGGTGCTGAGCTCCCAGTGTGGCTGGGAGGAGGTGCTGAGCTCCCAGTGTGGCTGGGAGGAGGTGCTGAGCTCCCAGTGTGGCTGGGAGGAGGTGCTGAGCCCCCAGTGTGGCTGGGAGGAGGTGCTGAGCCCCCAGTGTGGCTGGGAGGAGGTGCTGAGCTCCCAGTGTGGCTGGGAGGAGGTGCTGAGCCCCCAGTGTGGCTGGGGTAGGCTGGGAGGAGGTGCTGAGCCCCCAGTGTGGCTGGGGTAGGCTGGGAGGAGGTGCTGAGCCCCCAGTGTGGCTGGGGTAGGCTGGGAGGAGGTGCTGAGCCCCCAGTGTGGCTGGGGTAGGCTGGGAGGAGGTGCTGAGCCCCCAGTGTGGCTGGGGTAGGCTGGGAGGAGGTGCTGAGCCCCCAGTGTGGCTGGGGTAGGCTGGGAGGAGGTGCTGAGCCCCCAGTGTGGCTGGGAGGAGGTGCTGAGCTCCCAGTGTGGCTGGGAGGAGGTGCTGAGCCCCCAGTGTGGCTGGGAGGAGGTGCTGAGCTCCCAGTGTGGCTGGAGTAGGCTGGGAGGAGGTGCTGAGCCCCCAGTGTGGCTGGGAGGAGGTGCTGAGCCCCCAGTGTGGCCAGATAAAGCACAAACAAGCCTGGACTAACACCCCATCCTACCCAACATCGTCGACACTGTTGCCACTTCCCTCAAATCCTCTCCCACCACCACCATCCTGAAAGAATCAAATCATTCCCGTTTATCAGCATTACTAAGCATGTAAAGCATTAACCCATTGACGATACACGATTGTAAACATCACGTTTGCTTACATTCCCGATGAATAGGGGTTGATTTAAATAGGGGAAGGTATTGAGAAGACGGGTTGAGATGCCCCCCCTGGGTCAGGTCCAGACGACAGGTGGTTGGCTACCCTGAGGGGCTCCGGGATGGTTGCCAGGTGCCGCCATGCGAGGCTTCGCTTCTCTCATATCTGGTTTATTCGTAATTAAGTATTCATACAGATGTTTATGGCCGCTAGATTTGCATGTCCGCTAATAAGATTACATATTCGTATCTGACGGAACGTCTCGGATCAAAATATAATCATTTGTTTTGATGAATAAACGCTTGAATGCCGATTGGTGTTCCAATACGCCGCTAGAAATATAAGGTTAAGGTAAACTGTTTATAGTATGCAGTTCCTGGGAGTAAGAGAATTCAATAGCACGACTGTTGCCCTCAATGAGGGTTCCAACACCCTGTAAAAAGATTCAACTCCTCATATGTTGCCTATAGACGATGCTCAAACAACCAGATGGTCATACCCCTTAAGTACTTTTTTTTTTAATCCTGACTTGGCCTCCTGGAATGCTTTGCAAGGGAGTCCGATCCGGAGGATAATTTTGTCTGGGCTATCATCGACCATTTCCTTGACGAGTCTGATGCCAGATAAGATGAATTCGACCCTATAATTACAAAATAAATACAGACGAGATCAGCACATGCTTGATTCTTTTTGTACTGGCCTAGTTGTGTTTGTGGCAGGGGTTGAGCTTTGGCTCTTTGGTCCCGCCTCTCAACTGCCAGTCAACTGGTGTACAG